TTTGTGCTCACAAGTTAATGTCTTAAACTGCCGATCTTGTTACTATGCTAATTAATAGTTTTCACTATATTTTGGATATAGATATCCATTGCAGAATTGATGTCATACGGCTCGTTCACTGACTCGCTGGCCGTCTCAGTGATCAGCCGTAAAACAGTGATTCTGTCCTAATTCCCTTACATATTAATGGTGGCGTTCCCTTTAAAATCTTAAATGATTCCCTTTGAGCTAAATTGACCTGTTTCCCTTACACTTCAATGTCAAACTTTGCTTTGGTTTCCTTTGAAAAACCAGAACCAGCTGCATCTGGCTACTAAATATGTAGACGAAGGCGGGAGTCAATTTTCTAATTTACGCATGCCATCCAAATAGGTATGTTAACAGAGGGAATAACAGGCTCGGTTTGAAAGTTTCATGGCGAGTATATGGATTTTATGCTGCCGCAATCGACTCATTACTCAAAACAAATACATCATTTATCAAGACCGGCAACGCATGAGTAACCGCCTCTTTCAGGAAAATGAATATCTCTAGCAACATGAATTGATTTAGAATTCCACTCAACTCCATTCAGCAATCTCAGTTATGCACCACGTACAGAAAGAGATCGCAACTTTCTGAGTCAGGACCAGATGCATGAAATATGCTAAATAGGAATTTCTCTCTCTTTTTTTTTTTTACAATATAAATGATTTTTGCCCTTTTTGACAGCTATTTTGACAGGACAATGAGGGATATGATCGGAAAAGACATTGAGAACAGAGGCAAGCATGGTTCATGATATACAAAAACTGGAAACCTTCACAATCAATTTGCATTAAACATGAAAATGCCATTAGTGCTGCCAAACGATTAGTCCCAATTAATCGCATCCAAAATAAAAAAAAGATTTGTTTACATAATATATGTGTGTGTACTGTGTATATCTATTATTTATATATAAAAACACACATATATATGCATATATTTCAGAAAAATATGTTATGTTTGTATATTAAACATATTTATATATAAATTATATGAGTATATATTATATGAAAATGAATATAAATATATGCATGTAAATATTTTCAAACTATATACTGTATGTGTGTGTATTTATATATACAAAATAAATATACACAGTACACACACATACGTATATTATGTAAACAAAAACTTTTATTTTGTATGCAATTAATTGCGATCAATCGTTTGACAGCACTAAATGCTATTAAATGCAGATTAAATTTAGCAGCCCTAACTAAAATAAATAATAAATAAATTACAACTATAGTACTCTGCAAAAAATTTAAGTAAACTAAAACTAACAATAAGTGAAAGTTACTAAAAACTCCTGGAAAGATAAGTTGAAAGTAAAAGAAAAAAAAATCACTATTATAATAACCTAACCACTAGCCAATGGTTTCATAAATTGATTTTTCTATATTATCAGACTAAACATATGCAATTTACAGTACTGCCTGTTCTGCTCTGGTGTGTATCGTATGAACAAATGCACATGGTGTAAGGCGTTTATGAATGTCACTGTGAGCCAAAGGCTTAAGCATTTCTCATATAATTAAAAGAGCAATTACTATACTGGACTCCGTTAACTTTCAGCTTGGCAGATCAGGTCTGCTGAGCTCTGTGATATGCTTCCAGAGATGCTCGGTGGGCCGTAACATACTTTAAATTAGGTGCATGTACCACAAGGTCTCTGTGTTTACCGTATGCCCCAAAGCCTTTTAAAATGTGCCTCCATTCTTTGATCCCTATCAAAGGAACATTGACTCAACACAGCCTTGTTTGTCCTCACTAGACATGGCGACACACACCGTGCTCGCCTCCCAATGAGCATAAGCAGGAGGTTTGGTAAATAAGTCACACACCAGCTCACCATATTCAATTCAAAAGCAGTGTCCTGAAACTACCAGCATCTGCTCAACAATGGAAAGAGGAGCAATGCAAAAATATATAGAAGAAAGTAAAAGAAAGACGAAACTGTTGAGAAAAGCATAAAATCATTACCCTCATGACTGGTCTCCAGCTCTATCTCTCCACCGTAGTTGCCGTAGCCTCCGTCAGTGCGCGCCCTCACTCTGAACACATAGGTGGTGCCCGGCTTCAGCCCCTCCACTGTCATTGTGTGGGCTTTGGTCTTCAGAACCGTGTAGTTCTGGTCTCTTTGGTTCTGGAATGGAAAAACACAGCAACATTCACATTCACTTACAGAGAGATTTGTTAAATTGGATTCAGAGATTGAGGATAAAAAAAAGATGGAAAATTTAGAGTTGCATATAGCGTTCCTGTCCGATTTTATTTATTTTAACAGTCGGATTACACTACTGTTTAAAAGCTTAGGGTCGATATAAATGCCTTTGAAAGAAAATGTTCTTATGCTCACCAGGGCTGGATATATTTGATCAGAAATACAATATCTAAAAAAAGAAAAAATAGGGCCCAATGAAATCAGTTTAAATTTTTCCAAAATTCAGTTTTATTTTTTTCCAAATTCCGTTTTTTTCTACTTAAATTTTTCTAGACTATCTTTTAATGGTTAAATTAAATTTTATGAATCAAAAAGCATGTCTAATTAACTGAAATCATGAAACTTACAATATTAAACAGCAATTTATTAAAAGTTTAGCAAAAATTAAATTTTAAGGCCCTATGAAATATGTTTAATTTTTCTGCTAAAAAGATTCTGGAAAATATTTTTTTTCCTGGTAAATATGACGAGATTACGTTCATGTGTTCATGCACTCATATATTGAGGCGGCAGAGTCTGAAAACACTGTGAGTGTCACACGTGCTTCAGTATGTGTGTAGTAAACAAAACTGTGCATCTGTGCCCTTCATTCACACAGAGCCACGCAGAACATGCAAGATTCCTATTTTCACAATCAATTTGCATTAAACATGAAAATGCCATTAGTGCTGCCAAACGATTAGTCCCAATTAATCGCATCCAAAATAAAAAAAAGATTTGTTTACATAATATATGTGTGTGTACTGTGTATATCTATTATTTATATATAAAAACACACATATATATGCATATATTTCAGAAAAATATGTTATGTTTGTATATTAAACATATTTATATATAAATTATATGAGTATATATTATATGAAAATGAATATAAATATATGCATGTAAATATTTTCAAACTATATACTGTATGTGTGTGTATTTATATATACAAAATAAATATACACAGTACACACACATACGTATATTATGTAAACAAAAACTTTTATTTTGTATGCAATTAATTGCGATCAATCGTTTGACAGCACTAAATGCTATTAAATGCAGATTAAATTTAGCAGCCCTAACTAAAATAAATAATAAATAAATTACAACTATAGTACTCTGCAAAAAATTAAAGTAAACTAAAACTAACAATAAGTGAAAGTTACTAAAAACTCCTGGAAAGATAAGTTGAAAGTAAAAGAAAAATAAATCACTATTATAATAACCTAACCACTAGCCAATGGTTTCATAAATTGATTTTTCTATATTATCAGACTAAACATATGCAATTTACAGTACTGCCTGTTCTGCTCTGGTGTGTATCGTATGAACAAATGCACATGGTGTAAGGCGTTTATGAATGTCACTGTGAGCCAAAGGCTTAAGCATTTCTCATATAATTAAAAGAGCAATTACTATACTGGACTCCGTTAACTTTCAGCTTGGCAGATCAGGTCTGCTGAGCTCTGTGATATGCTTCCAGAGATGCTCGGTGGGCCGTAACATACTTTAAATTAGGTGCATGTACCACAAGGTCTCTGTGTTTACCGTATGCCCCAAAGCCTTTTAAAATGTGCCTCCATTCTTTGATCCCTATCAAAGGAACATTGACTCAACACAGCCTTGTTTGTCCTCACTAGACATGGCGACACACACCGTGCTCGCCTCCCAATGAGCATAAGCAGGAGGTTTGGTAAATAAGTCACACACCAGCTCACCATATTCAATTCAAAAGCAGTGTCCTGAAACTACCAGCATCTGCTCAACAATGGAAAGAGGAGCAATGCAAAAATATATAGAAGAAAGTAAAAGAAAGACGAAACTGTTGAGAAAAGCATAAAATCATTACCCTCATGACTGGTCTCCAGCTCTATCTCTCCACCGTAGTTGCCGTAGCCTCCGTCAGTGCGCGCCCTCACTCTGAACACATAGGTGGTGCCCGGCTTCAGCCCCTCCACTGTCATTGTGTGGGCTTTGGTCTTCAGAACCGTGTAGTTCTGGTCTCTTTGGTTCTGGAATGGAAAAACACAGCAACATTCACATTCACTTACAGAGAGATTTGTTAAATTGGATTCAGAGATTGAGGATAAAAAAAAGATGGAAAATTTAGAGTTGCATATAGCGTTCCTGTCCGATTTTATTTATTTTAACAGTCGGATTACACTACTGTTTAAAAGCTTAGGGTCGATATAAATGCCTTTGAAAGAAAATGTTCTTATGCTCACCAGGGCTGGATATATTTGATCAGAAATACAATATCTAAAAAAAGAAAAAATAGGGCCCAATGAAATCAGTTTAAATTTTTCCAAAATTCAGTTTTATTTTTTTCCAAATTCCGTTTTTTTCTACTTAAATTTTTCTAGACTATCTTTTAATGGTTAAATTAAATTTTATGAATCAAAAAGCATGTCTAATTAACTGAAATCATGAAACTTACAATATTAAACAGCAATTTATTAAAAGTTTAACAAAAATTAAATTTTAAGGCCCTATGAAATATGTTTAATTTTTCTGCTAAAAAGATTCTGGAAAATATTTTTTTTCCTGGTAAATATGACGAGATTACGTTCATGTGTTCATGCACTCATATATTGAGGCGGCAGAGTCTGAAAACACTGTGAGTGTCACACGTGCTTCAGTATGTGTGTAGTAAACAAAACTGTGCATCTGTGCCCTTCATTCACACAGAGCCACGCAGAACATGCAAGATTCCTATTTAAATAGTGTAAATAATTTTTGTGGCGTATTATTCACAGACAGTGATCCATATCATGTTTTGATTTAAGTGTACTGACCAATACTTCTGCTTTATCTAAAATTTGGCAAAATCAGTGACATTCCACATTATACAGTAAATCCTATGAAATATGTTTAATTTTTCTGCTAAAAAGATTCTGGAAAATATTTTTTTTCCTGGTAAATATGACGAGATTACGTTCATGTGTTCATGCACTCATATATTGAGGCGGCAGAGTCTGAAAACACTGTGAGTGTCACACGCGCTTTAGTATGTGTGTAGTAAACAAAACTGTGCATCTGTGCCCTTCATTCACACAGAGCCACGCAGAACATGCAAGATTCCTATTTAAATAGTGTAAATAATTTTTGTGGCGTATTATTCACAGACAGTAATCCATATCATGTTTTGATTTAAGTGTACTGACCAATACTTCTGCTTTATCTAAAATTTGGCAAAATCAGTGACATTCCACATTATACAGTAAATTCCATTTTTATGACTGGATTCCAACTGCTTTCTATTTTAAAATATAATTTAATTTCTGTGATTGCAAAGCTGAACTTTGGTTTTTCAGTGTCACATGATCCTTCAGAAATCATTCCAATATGCTGATTTGGTGCTTAAGAATCTTTCTTATTATAATCCATGTTGAAAAGAGTTAATCTTTTTGTGAAAACTGTAATACATTTTGTGTAGGATTCTTTGATGAATAGAAAAGTAAAAAAAACAAAACAGCATTTATTTGATTTTTTTTTGTAACAACGTCAATTTTAATGCATAATTTTTTTTATGAAATTACACATCTATAAAACTTAACAAGCTTTCTGTTAAATTTAACTGTGATGCTATGCTATCGATGTTAACCAATCAGTCTAATATACTTGTTAAATCAATTTAAAGTAAACGGCAGGGTGGCAGCGTTGATGTGCTGCATGTAGAGCAGCAGAATTTCGAGGTTGTGCTGTAGAATATGACATAAGAGGATTAATGAAGGATATTATTTCAGCAGCATGTTAATACTGTAGCCAGCAGGCGTCATATTTTGAGTCATTTTAGAGAGGCAGATGCTGGGGTGCTAACATACCAGGCCAAGGCTTTAATTTACACTGTCTGACATGATTATTTGTGTGATTATAGATACATGAGTCAGACATCTGCAGTCTATGAATACTGTGAGTTTATTAATTTTATAGTAATTACCAAGAATGCCAGCTAACACTTAATATGGCAGATTCACTTATTCTCTGATGCATATTGTACACAAAAATGGCAAAAGCTGGCTGAAAGTGCTAGTTTGGATGTGGCTGACCGATTTTTACTTGCAGTCAGCAGTCTGGTTAAGCATTACATTTACATTCATACATTTGGCTGACACTATTATTCAAAGCGACTTGCATTCAAGGTATGCAAGTCTAAAAAAAAAATAAAAAAATCTTGCAATATGATCTTATAAACTGATCATATAAATCAAGAATTGACAAAATGAGAGATGATATTCCTCAGAGATATCAGCCACTAGCTACCAGTCATTAAAACAGTCAAACCACCCTTTCAAAATGAATAAATCTCTTTCAAATATTAAAGAGCATCCCATAACCAAATGGGTTCTGGGAAAGACTTGGTTCCTGTCCACCACACCCAGAATGAATGAGTGCAGAGCAGGTTTGTGTCTGAGAGCGTGGGATCGTTCCAGTTCCAACAAACACAGCATGCACCACACGATCTCCAATGCCAGACACCCATCTGGGCATTCAGTCTGAGCTGACATCCCATAATCGCACAACAACCAGTATGTGTGCCAGACTAGACTGGGTCAAATGATTGCATCTGTGCAGGACTGATTGACTAAGGCTGAGTTAGGGATAGAAGTGCAATCTGTTCAATATGTGCAAAAAAAATAAATAATTATTGACCTAAAATGAATGTGATTTTTTTACATTTATTATTAAGTATAAAATAAATAATAAAATAGGATGTACTGTATTTATATGCCTCACAGCCTTGATTACTTGATTAACAATTGTGTGTGCATGTTAAAAATAAAATAATAAAAATAATAAATAATAAAATACAAAATAAAATATTGGATGGACACATTAAATAGATCAAAAGTGACAGTGATTTCTGTCAAATAATCGCTGTCCTTTTCTATTCAAAGAATCACAGTTTTGCTAAAAATATTAAGCAGCAACTGTTTTCAACATTGATAATAATAAGAAATATTTATTGAGCATAAATGATCATTCATGTTTTCATAACCGCTGGCCAAATTCAAAAAACTAAAATTAAATAATGTTCGAGAGCAAGGGGGCCCACCCTGGTGTTTCGGGGGCCCTACACAGCTTATGTATTTTGCGTATAGGGAGGATCAGCTCTGACTGTATGAATCTACATCATTCTCAACTGGTGGCTGTGACTCAAAAAAGGTCCCAAAAATATATATATTAAAAAAAAAAATCTATTAGCTTAAACAAAGGAGGATAAATCGCTTCCCATATTAATCTCTATGACCAATGGGTCACTTGGTAATTATGATTAACACAAAAACAAAATATTTGGTCCAGTGTTTGTTTCATGTTTAGATTGGTAAATCTTTGGCAAAGCAGCACAGAAAGTACACACTTCAGCTGTAAAGACACATTCCTTTTCCCTTTTCAGAGCTGTTACAACATCCCGTGTTCTGTAAAAATGGGTCAGTCAACACGGACTTAAATAACCAGTGGAGAAAAAAGAGCCTGAGTGCAGGAATTACAAATAGTTTCTTGTAGCAGAGCGTCCCTATAGGACTTCGCAAAACCAAAACACATCCTTGAGACCTGGATTCAAATTCCAACATTTCCCTGCCTCAGAGTACACCACGATTATGTTTACAAACTAGAGAATGGCAACCTGACTCTCCCCTCAAAATGCGGCCATTTCTCGATTTCACTTTTCTATCTCTCTTTCTCTTTCCCATCTTTTCCACATCTGCCTCTCACATTCATTTGTTTGCCTCAGAGCCCCAATGGATGACCCAATTTCTTGGTCCCTCTGAGGAACCATGTGAAATACGTGAGGAGGAATTCAGCCTTTTACACATTTACAAATGCAAAGTGTTTTCACAAACACAGGCCTGAGAGAAGGAGCACGTAGAGGAGTAGATGAAGGTGGCGAGTACGACTTTAGCATGGTGTTAGTCTCACTCTAGCTCAAGGCGCCAATAAAAAAACACCACACAGGGCTTCTGCATATTCTAATGAGGCCGTGTGAATGTTAATGAATTGGAAAGGGCATATTTATTTGATTGCTTTGCTGCTTGGCACTCATCGAGAGGATGTTGGTGGGAGGGAGGTGGTTCGTGATGGTGCGTCTCAGGGGTAGAGACGTAAATTCACAGTGCAGTTAAGGTGAGAGCGTTAGCAATCTGCACCGCGAGCAAATTAGACAATCCTGCCGGCCGCCGAGGTCAAGCCATCGCTAGTGTCGGAAACGCAATTCAATTGATGGATCAATGCAATGATGAATTTATCCTCGCCTTGATTGCCTGTGTGAGTGGTGAAGGTCACGGATTTAATCAAGACCTGCAGCTCCCTTGCTTGCCCATAAATCCACAACCGGCAGAGAACGGCATGCTTACCCTACACCGCAAAGATCCAATCTCCACCTCGGTTCCTATACATTCTCATATCATTTGTTGCTGTTTCTCTTTTCCTCTAAAAAACATGAATAGAAATACAATGTGCAACTTTCATAAGCCTCCATTGCTTCTTTGATTTATCACGGGAGCCAGTTTTCATTTGTGTTGTTTTTCCAGTACAAATATATAACCTTTCTTCAAAAAGATACATTTACTTGAGAAACAAAATTATTTAAAGTCAGCATTAGGGCTGACAATTAATCGCATCCGAAATAAAAGTTTATGTTTACATAATATACAGTATGAGTGTGTACTGTGTATATTTATTATGTATATATAAACACACACACACATACATGTACATATTTAACAAATATTTATATGTATAGATTTACATTTATATATAATTTATATTATATATAAATATAAATATTTTATATATGTGATTTTCTGGATTTTTTCCCTCATTTTGTCTCTCATAGTTGAGGTATACTTATGATGAAAATTACAGGCCTCTCTCATCTTTTTAAGTGGGAGAACTTGCACAATTGGTGGCTGACTAAATACTTTTTTTCCCCACTGTATATATTATGTAAACACAGACATTTATTTTAGATGCAATTAATTGGGATTTATTCTTAGTCCTAGTCTTTTCTCCTGTATTGTGACATATATTCGAGTGAAACCGGTTACTTAATTCAAAGGAATAACTAGTTTATTTTTTCGTCCATACTATTATTATGCCAAATATATAGTGCCCAAATAAACGTAAATGCATTTAGCTACATTTTATTAGCAAAAGTTGTAATGTATCTAACTACTTATTAAAAGTTTAGCTTGACTGCTAGTAGTATCATACTTTAAACGATAGTTAAACTACAAACTAGTAAAGTAGCGACAAATTGTTCTTATATATTGTGAAATGGATTATTGAAAAAAAAAAAAAAAAAAAAAGGGTTACACTTTATTTAGATGATAAAATCCACTATAGACATTATATTAACTATAAGTAAATTTGTAAATTTAAAAAAAAAATTAAATTTGTAAAAAATAAGAGTATTAGTAGACTTAGGTTATGGTTATGGTATACTTGCAAAGTTACTTATTAAACACCAGCAAAAGAGGTTTCCCAGCATTTGTGCTAACAGCTAGGCTATGGCTTCAACAGCTCCATGCTCCCTGGAGGAACACATGCCTTCTGTCTCAATAACTTGGATCAATACTTGTCACTGAACATGCTCATTGATAAAATGCACTGGTGGGAAAACCTCACCTGATAGTGAGGCGCTATCAAGCCATAGCATTGATAGAGCCATGCTCTACCTGCTGAGCCACAAAAACATATTTGTTCCTTTGGACGCCAATGGAGGGATCGAATCAGCAACCTTCCAATTACCACCCCATGAGCCTTAACCACTACACCACACCATCCCATTTCATTGTCCTGATTCAAATGAAAAGTCAGCCAATTGGGATACATTTCACGGCCTCCTAAATAGCCATAAGCAAACAAATAAATTCAAATTAGGTTCAAGAGCGTGTGGGACTTTTGTTGGGTCGTAGCGGTTGGAAAGAGAAGGAGAGAGATAGAAAAAGAGATGAGTAGGGCTCTGCTCTTAGAAAGCCTAATCAGAAGCGGAGCGTCTGGGGTGAAGGCTGGGCACCGTGCCGCTGCACTGGAGAGTTTTGGCCTGCTGATGAGGGTTGCCTGGCTGTTCCTTCCTGGCACTGATCCACAGCGGTATATCAGAACTCCCAGGCAGCCTGACCACACACAAACACACACCAAACACACACCAAAAACACACACACAATCTGGAGCAAACACACATAGGCCCTTACGGCCACAGGAAATTCCCTTCTGCGTAACAATCTTTGAAAGTCTTTCAAAGTGTTTCTGAGAGAAGAAGTCTATGACCTCCAGCATCTGTTTAGATGAGTTTCAAAGACTCAGCTTTACCACAACTGTTTCAGCAGTACGTGATGAACTCTGGGTCGAAGATTGAAAAGCCATAATTTGTTCATTGTACCAAACCCAAATTATACTAAATGCAAATAATTTCAAGTGAGAGTGAAGCACTGGAAATTGCTCCTATTGGAGTCATAAGGCTCAGGGAAGTTTGATGTTTATTTGAAAAGCAGTGTTTGACAGAATTAAAGACATAAGTACTATTTGAGCAACATTTTTTCCAACAGTATAATATTCATGTCAGGAAAAGTGAAGGGTCAGGATGGCTGCATAGTTATCCAATACTTGTCAACCCTCCCTGTTTAAATATAATTTAAAGACACATCTCTTTAGCCAAGCATTCATACAGCTCTCATTAACGTGTATTATTATATCTTATGAAATAGCACTAAATACACGTGATCATCTTTTGTCTGAAATGCTATGAACAGCAGCTAATTATTCTCATTTTGCTTTCCTGATTTTCTTCAGATTAACTACAGTTTGCACCAGCTCCAGTATGGATCCAGCCTTTGTGAAGATTTCAGACGACACCAACACTTGCAAAGACCTCAGGGGATGTCAACTTTGGATAAACATACAAAACTGTCAATCATTATCCTTATATTGTAATCATTATGAGCACAATAATATTTGTTGAACCTGCTTAACTGAATACATGACATTAACTAACCACATAGCATGTATTATATTACAGCTACCTATTACAGCAATATGGACATTACTCTGACATACTCATCTCTGGCTAAAAACAGAATACTTCCGAACTGTAAATTTTAAACAAACATTTTCTGTAAAGCTGCTTTGAAATAATATGTGGTGTGAGAAGCGCTATACAAATAAACTTTGAAAAATGAATTGAAATAGTGAGTCTTTATGCGTGATCATTTGTAAATATTATTTTATTTCAGCTTAAAGATTATGAAAATAAATAAAATTTAACTGCCCACGAGGGTTTTAGCAAGCTGCTTAAAATAATTTTTTGAGAACATGCATTTAGGATTGAATTGTAATATATGTTTGGACTTCAGTAAAGATAGCTTTTGAGGGTTTTTTTTGTGCAACTGTGTTCTTTTTGGAAGTGAAAAGAAAGAGAAAGTGTGTGTGTGTGTGTGTCCAGTAGTGGGCAGATGTTGAGAAAGACCCAAACAGACATCCACATTGTGATAACAGAAAGAAACCA